TAAACCTGTTGGAATCATCAAAAATGTGCAAACTTCATCTAATCTCACTCAAATCCGAAATCCTTCAAGGTATTTTTCCAAAACTTCTATTTCATCAATTTATGAACATATAACTAGTTTTAATTAGTTCTAGGATGAACTTTAGATCGGGCATTGAGTGTTTAGTGATTAGAAACTAGATATCACAATTAATTTCATCAAAAACACAAGAATTTTCTAATTTTTTTTAATTTTCGAAAAAAAATTGTGTTGCTTTTCAAACTATTGTGTTTTGATTGAATTATGTTGTTGTTATGAAAACTATACATATATTGTTTCTCAAACCCGTATTTTTCAAAAGTTTTCAAAAACTTTGCCCATTAGGATTGATTTAGAGAACCTTGAAATATTGAGGACTCAATTGAGTTTTGGGATTGATTGAATTGCATACATGTGTTTTCAAAATTGTAGGTTATCCATTCTATTATGATTTCCTAAACCATGTCCAATCCTAAACGTGCTAGGTCATCATCTAGTCGCTCACACCGTCAACCAAATCCACCTCAAAATCCTCAAAATCCAATTCCTAATCCTAATCCCATTGATCCTAATTTGACTATCCAAAATTCGTGCTTCAATCATCTTGGTCCTAGAAATCATCGTTTTTGGTATTATCAATATTTCGACTCTTACAAAATTAGAGAATAACGTATTCCTTCTCGTCAAGCTATGTTAGATATTAATTTTAAATATCTTCCTCTTTTACAAGAGTGGAAAATTGACAAACTTTTTTATCTTGAACCCATTGTCTACCATCAACTTGTTCATATTTTCTATTCTAATGCCGTTTGTGTTAAAAACCAAACTGAAACCGAAACCATAGGAATTCGTTCCTACCTCCTAGGACAATTCTTATATATTGACTCGACTTACATAGCCAATACATTCGGATTAGATAATGATAGTATTTCAAATGAAAAACAAATCTTAGGATCTCGTTATAAAAGAAGGGATAGTGCAAGTGTCTTATACCTTCATGAACGTTTTCTTCATCTAATGATTTCTTGGTGGTTTCGACCATCCGGAGGTCGTTATTCTACTCTTAGAGCCTTAGATATTTGGTGGTTACATTGTTTCGAAAACAATATTAAAATAAACCTACCTCAGATTATTTTTACTGAAATTGTTGAAACCGTAAATCTTATTCCTAACAAGAAACTATGTTCATCTCTAGTTTACGGTTGCATTTTGAGTAATATGTTTTCCAAAGCTGGGCTTAGAGTCGGTCTAGATGTCGTTTTCCCCTTAAGAAACAAATTAATCTTCTTTCCTTAACGAGAGCGGGATTGATAAAGGATAAGGAAACCGGTGAATATGTTCGATCCTCTGCAAATACTCCGAGAGCTAGTTCTTCACGAGCTCCACCAGAAGCTGATGACGATCTCGAGCTTGAGCAATTAATGCGAGACATCGATGAAGCCGAAGATGAGCCTGAGCAGCCCGAGGAGCAAGCACAACAAACGCATCAAATGCCTCCATATTTTCAATCATTTATGGAGACATTTGATTTCCGATATGCTACCATGGATTCACACTTTACTTTTATAGAGTCTCATTTATCAACAATGGGAGCTCAACAATTAGAAAATCTTCGGGAGAGCGTGCAAACAACGAAGCAACCAACGCGCGTATTAATGAACTCACTCACGAAATGGCCCGCTATGCGGGCTCGTTTATTTACTTCATGTTAGATATATGACCAATTTTGCCATGTCACATTAATTATGAATATTGATTATGAAACTAATGGCTAACGTTTCTCTTGCTTGTGATCTTAGCAGCTTATACTATATATAATCAATTGGCTAAATGATTTCAAAACCTTGTTTAAATTCTTTAAAATGTCTTTTTGATTTAACAAAAAGGGGGAGAAGTGTTAAATGTGTTTTAAATTTAAATGATAAATGGGAGAAGTGTTAAAGTAAGGGGAGTAATTTCAAAACTTGATTTCAAAATCTTAAAATTACTAAAATGTTTTATTATATCAAAATGGGGGAGATTGTTGAAAACATTTTGATATTTCGATATAACAAATTAAGTTAAATGAATTTTAAGATTTTCCAAATGATTTTCTAAGTATATTCGATATAACTATTCGAATATCAAAACATTACTCCAAATCTTTTAAAAATCATTTTTAATCCTTACTCAAGTGTAAAATTAAGTTTTAATCTTAAAACAATCTCAAAATAATTTTACAATGTATTTCGAACCATTTCAAAGCCAAAAATTCCAGATTGCTCGGAGGGAACCGATTCCCCCTGAATGGTTTGGCTCCGAGAATTTCAGTATGCTCGGAGGGAACCGATTCCCCCCCAGGGGGTACCGATTCCCCCCTTGTATAACGGTCGAAATATTTGAATTTTACACTTAGGGAACCGATTCCCCATAGGGGGTACCGATTCCCCCACGCTCCAAGCTATTTTATTAATTGTTTTCACACTAAAACGGCTATATGATCTTCACTAATCATCCTCAACGTTCAGAAGTGATTCAAGGTGTATTTAAACAAGTTCTAAAGCCTTTGATCGATAAGAAATCATAGAGAAACAAGAGAGAAAGCATCAAACACCAAGTTTGTGCAAATCAAGCCAATTTTCCTTTCAATATTCATTTTGCTTTCAAAGAACACCATTTGTGCTCATTTGTAATTATTTGTGAGTGTTCTTTTCTTGTTCTAGAATTGTGCAAACATCTTACCTTGTGAGGTTTTCCTTGTAAGTTTACAAATTTGTAATCTTCTCTTTGGGAAAGAGTGTTCTCAAGAATTTGGGTATATTCTTGAGGGTGTTGTAAGGTTATCTCTTTGGCCTCAAAAGAAAGAACAAATTAGTGAATTTGTTGGAAAATCCTTAGTGTGGATAGCTAAGGTAGTGGACGTAGACTTTGATTGAGAAAGTCGAACCACTCTAAATCGCTGTGCAATTACTTTTAATTTTCTACAAAAGCTTCCACCAAATTTTTAATTGCCAATTCACCACCCTCTTGGCCAATTCCGTCAATCGATTAACTCAACAAAAAGCTCCAAGTTTTCTCTCAATTTTTTGCTTTCATTTGGCGATGAGATACATCTACAGGGAACATCATATTGATCGGCTTTTCTGACTTAAACACAACACCAACATCAGTTTTTAGAATTTCGCCATTATAATGGACAACTGTGAAGAATTCGTTGCTCATTGTTTGAAATGTTTTTGGTTAGATAAAAGGAGTTTGTTGCGTAAGAGATTGAAGATGAAAGGAGTGTATTATGTAAGAGATTAAAGACGATGTGCACAACTTAAAGGGAAGACATATTTTTTCCCGTTGGAACTCGTCACATCATCTTGACGAGTTCCATTAAATTTTTAAAAAAAAATCGACTATTGAACAATAGTCAATCCAACGGTCAAAAAAGTCAAAATTATACATGTTGGAACTAATCACACTAACATGACGAGTTTCATGGGCATTAAAATATTTTTTTAATTTTCTTTTAAAATTTTTAAAAAAATATTTTTTTATTATGACTCAATATATATTAAATTTATTCCTACTGTGGGGTTCACCTGGTACGACCCATTAAAAAAATATATCTCATGGCGTGACGAGTTCTATGGAGACTGTTGCAATTGTCGTAAATCCCAAATTAAAAGTTTAGGTACCTTATTGGGCCAAATAATGTTACCGGTGGATTATTTGCTCAGTTTAACCCTAAAAATATAATTTAACATGAATATAAAATATAATTTGAATTAAAAAAATATTTTGTAATATCTAATAGTTAATAATAAAAATAAAATAATTTTAAAGTTAATTTAATAACATAAAAAATGATGAAGGATTATTTTTATCGACTAAAATATCATTTAAAATTTTAGTTACATATACTGTTTGATCATACATTATTAATCATTAATATTCAATTTATTATTTGATTAATTTAAACTAAATATTATCAACGTTCATTATAAGCGTAACTTTCTCAATTCAATTTACTTCATTCACATGTCAAGATTCGAATCCTCAATATTATTTAAGAGATCTAACGATTTATCTTATTAGATCAATTGATTGTTGGCCTCCACATTATACTTCTAATGTTCGAGAATTGTAATTATTAAATATAATTTTTATTTACAATATTAAAATTTAAACCCTTCATCTTGTTTAAAAGATCTAATATCTTATCATACTAGATAAATTTATTATCAGTATACGTACTATATTTTTCATGTTAAGAAAATATCATTTTTAGAAATAACTACGAACCATTGATGATGAATTTGAATCATAAAACGAATACAAAGTAATGCCTACTGTATAAAAAACAAAAAAAAACAATTAATTATAACCAATATTATTGGAGAAATAGATTAAAGTTGTTATAGGTTAAGTACACCATATATCTATATTTTGTAATTACAGTTATTTTTATAATACGAGATAAATATAAAATAATATCAATTTAAAAATAAATTTTAACTTTTTAACATTAAAAATTTACATCACCAACATTCTTGGTACTCAAACAAAAGACTTTAAAACAGTGGATGTCTAAGGTACGACATTTTTAATATACGGCTAAAAAAAGACGTTACCAGAAATGTTAATATTGGACACTACCTAAAATATTTAACATTTACGGTAAAGCGTTATCTAAAATATTATTTTTTTACCAGTAATATTAATATTGAGCTCTACCTAAAATGCTATTTTTTTTTATAAAATATTAGGTAGTGAAATTAACATTCCAGTAAGATATTTCATTAACCGTATATTAAAACTACCGTACATCAAAACTACCCTTAAAATAACAATTCATTTATTATTAAAATTACTGTGTTATTACTTGTAATTAAAGTTAAATGTTTTTATTAGTATAGATTGTTATCCATAAATCACTTATTAATTTGTAGTATTTCTCATAATAAAATACAATTAAATTAAAGAATATTAAATAGCCTTCACGAAAACAAGTAGAAACTCTTTACGAAACTGGCAAAATTGAATCTCTGAACGAAGAATTTGAGGGAAAAGAGAAAATCAAGATGAAGGAGCCGCTGCGTAAAACGAAAGTGGTGATAAGGCATCTGCCGCCGTCAGTTACCCAACCGTTTTTCTTTTCTCAAATCGACGAACGTTTCTCTGATCGCTACAATTGGTTCTCCTTCCGCCTCGGCAAGTCCAGGTTAGGGTTTCTAACATCTAGTTCACCCATTCTCTAGTGCCCCTTTAATTTTTTTTATTTCGTTTGTTTTTGGGATTTTTTTCCATTATGTTTTTGTAATTTAGTTCCCTGGGTATCAAATGGAGCATAATTTGTGATTGCACTGTTGGATTTCTATTATGCCGTTGAACGGGGTTTAGAAATTTTTGGTCTTTAGCAGCTGCGGTAAAAGGGTAGGTTGGAATAATTGAAAGTAAAATTTGAAACTAATTTGAGAAGCAAGTTTTTTTTAATGTATTTGTTTTGCTTAGGAGTAGGGTTCTCTTAATGGTGATTTACTTCTTTTCTTAATGGAAACCTGCATAAAATTAACAAGAGATTATCATAATTTGCAAACAGTTAACAGTAAATGCTAGTCGTTTTTGAATGCTTGGGGAAGAACATGGGATTTAACTAAGATGTAATAGAAAGTTATAGAAAATGAAGACAGTTTCGAAAGTTTGATAGCATCTTTTGAACATGATTTTATTTATTTATTTATTTTTCCCTATACTCCATCTTTTGATCCTCATGGATCTTTTTCATTTTTTGTTCTCACTTTGCAGCCATAAACAACAGACTTACTCTCGAGCCTACATAAACTTCAAGAGACCTGAAGATGTCTTTGAGTTTGCTGAATTTTTTGACGGTCATGTATTTGTTAATGAGAAGGGTACGTAACGGCTAAATGTCTGATTCTTTATGATGCTTATATATGATTCTTTCTAAATATGAGAAATGCAACTGTTGTTTCATTTGTTCAATTTGATTGCAATATGTTAATTTATTTGTCCGAGTTTAATTTACCTGTTGGTCCTTCTATTCTAATTTATCATTTTGATTCTCCTTATTCCAGGTACTCAATTTAAGGCCATTGTTGAATATGCTCCTTCACAGCGTGTACCAAATCCTAGCAGTAAAAAGGATGGTCGTGAAGGGACCATTTTCAAAGGTCTTTTTTTAAGAAAGGAGTTTATTGTTAGTCATATTATTTAATGAAAACTTTTGGAACTAACATTGAAGGTCAGTTATAACCAGTTATAACTTGTTATATTGTACTGAATCTTCTTTTTCTTTAATTAACTAGATCCTGATTATCTGGAATTTCTCAAATTGATTGCAAAACCTGTTGAGAATCTTCCTAGTGCTGAGATTCAGTTGGAGAGAAAAGAAGCTGAACAGTCTGGTCAGTTATGTTAGAAGGAATACAAAATTGTGAACTCTATTTACGAGTTGTTGACATCCTAATATGAATGTGATTGATCCCACTTTATTCTTTTTCAGGTGCTCCAAAGGAAACTCCTGTTGTTACACCACTAATGGAATTTGTGCGTCAGAAGCGAGCTGCCAAGAGTGGAACTCAGGTACTTTACCTTGGAAAAGATAACGTTTATATCTTGTTCTTTCCCCTGTTTATATGACATTAAGTCATTGTACTTCCAGTTTTTCATATACTTATTTTTTTAGCTCAACGAGCTTGCACCTATGTGATCGAACTTTATTAAAATATTATGGGCATATTGTCGGCAGTAGTTGCATGGTTTCCTCCTAAATTTCCATTTGAATTATTATAATCCAATTTGACCAGAATTGTCCACGAGATGTCTGTCACACATGCTGCACTCAAATATGTTAAGTAATGCTTCCATGGGTCACTATTTCCTTGGGGTGGAAAAATAAATGAAAATCAATTAATAAGCTGTCCTTCTGTGACCACATTATAGTTTGTTTTGATGACAGGGGTCGATAACTATAAGAAAGGTTGGCAGAAAAATTGCTGCTGCATCTGCAGGCAAGTCTGGATCAAGTAGCAAGCGCTCTGAGAAGAAAAAGGTATCTAAGTCAATAGCTTTCTCATGTAGTTTATTGGTGGATATTTGAGCATATGGTACTTTGCATGTGGGTTTAAACCTTTCGGTACTACCGAAAAATAAGATCTTTGCATTGTGAACTTCTCTTATAAAGTCACCTTACTGGTGAATCAGAGGCCTTTTATTTGTACGAGAGCATAACTTCTACATATCTGGATCGTCTGCTTTATAATTGTGACTCTGTTCTTAGTTGATATTGATTCTTGCTTTCTTCTTGCATGCAAAGATTGTAAGCACTCGTCTTTTTTGGGCACTTGTGGTCAAATAAAATGCCAAAATAGACTGGTTTCTGAAATTTGAAGCACCTTGAAATTTCTTTGGAAATACCTGTAGGATGCTATCTTTAGGTGAATTCCTGTAGGATGTTTTTAATATTTTACAAATCAGCGGATCAAATTTGCATGAGTTTCTTTTTTTCTTAAATATTATATTCATTGCCCCTTTCATATGAAGCAATTTTCAATGATCCTTCCCAATAATCTTGTCTTACACTGTGTGCATGTCCAATCTCTAAAGGTGTATAGTATGTTATTTACTCATTTGATGAAACTTGTTTGATTGGCAGTATATTCTAAAAGACAGTGCAAAAGGTGCAAAAAAGTCCAATTTTTTTGTAGCATCCAAGCAAGAGAACCAATCAGTGACTTCTGTCGCAAAAGAAATAAGAGAGAATGGAACTGGTGAGGGTTTAAACTGTCTTAGCAGAGGTTATGATCCACGTAAAGCTCTGTCAGCATTTATACTGGCTTGTTAGTGTTATCTTTGTGAATATTTGCGAGATACAATTCTAGTGAACAATCCAAGTTATTGATTGTTTTTCACACAAATAAATGACTCATGATGTTCTAGTGTGTGTTACTGGATTAAATTAATATCAATTTCTTGAGTGTTCAAAGTTGTCTGCAAACATGTATCTCTTGTTTGGTCAATAGTCATCTCATTGAATGCTTAACCAGAAGCTTAGCATGTCCTCATGAATGTGTTTTATTGCGAAGCTATTTGAATATGTTTCTGAAAAATGATTTTTTGTATTCTTTATCTATCATGCCAATGCCACCTGCTATTCTGCATTTAATTTAGCTGTGATGACCTGTTATTATTTGGAGATCAGAGACATTATATACCATTTTATAGATGTAGCTGACTCATGTAATACTGATATGCTGCTGCTGCAAGTTTCTTATAGTGCCATAAAAAAGGAATACATTGAAACTTTGTTTATTGGTGCCCCCATGATGGAGAGCTTTAGGTCTACCTGAGTTCATACTTTGGAATACAACTCGTCTCTATATATGATACTTCTGGGTGAAGGTGTGCATAATGCTGAACTTTTTTTTTTCTTACAATCATTTATTATACTGGATAAGTGCAAGAGTCCCCTGTCATTCTATTTGCACTCAGTTTTGATAGTGTGTGCATGGATATGTTTAAATTGATGGTTAATTCTCTCTGGACTTGGGCTTGAATTATTTTCCTTTATTTGACTAGAAGTTGCTGATAGATTAAGTGCCTTAGAATGCAGGTTGTTTTGGTTCTTGGCTTTTCTTTTTTCATTGTGTTTACTTTCCCATGCTTTTGCTTAATAATAAGTTGCGTTGCAGTCTGTGGCATTGATGGTCCTGTGACTGGAATTACTTTTTCAGCGGACTCTGGCAAGAAAAAGATCCTTCTCGTGAAACCAAAAGACCGAGAGGCTCCTAATGTAAGATATTTGCCTTTATTTTGTCTTGTTTCCACTCACTTATGGTGTCCATTGTTATATATTTAAGTTTTATATATACTGGGACGGGTATCATTTTATAGTTGCTTATGGAGATGATTTTTGAATTGGTTCTTTTAATTTTTCGTATGCAAATTATGTTCCTTTTTTAAATTCTCAGGTGCCAGAGGGTGTATCTGAACAGCAGGGTGCATCGTCTCCTGCAGCAAATACACCTGGTTCAACTGCTTCAAGACAGGGTCAAAGACGCAAGGCTGGTGGAAAGTTAATAAGGAGCATACTTTTGAGAAACGAAGCAGTCCAGCCTCAGCAGAAAATTCAAGCCACGAGTCCAGACACAGTAAAAAATCTTCCCCAGCCAACTAATACACGAATGGGTATGAATGGTCATGTTCCTAATGAAATGCCTGCATTGAAATCTGATGGTGATACGAACAGAGTTTCAGATGATAAGTTCATCAAAAAGGGACTTCATGATTCAGGTTCTGGAAGTGAGAAACATGCAAAACAAACAAGAAATAGAGATAAACCTGATCGTGGTGTATGGGCTCCTCGTGCTGATTTTTCACAGTCTAATGAGGAGCGTCTGACACCGTTTGTGTTACAATCAGCACAGTCTTCTCGCAGTTCCATGGAAGGTATTAATGCTTCTTCACATGTATTTCTGGTGTCTTCAAGTGAGGATGGATTTGGGATACAGTGCTTAGATCAAGTTGTTCTATTTGAATTTGCAAGAAGCGTGGCAAGCTAATTTACCTCATTTTCTGCCTATAATCTTCCTGATAGCTAAGGAGAAATGAAATGTGACATAGTTAATAGAAGCATTGGATGTAGTTTTCCGTTGGAAAATGTTTTTAGTCTATCCATAATTGATTGATTCAGTACCGCAGTCGCACATAGAGGTACTAGAATATCATATTGATGATCCCATTCGTGCAGGCTCCAGTCGGCAATTTGGTCGGGGCCCAGCAGCCCATACTATTAAAGATGATAGATCTGTCACATCAAGTGAGGTCAAGCCTTTCAAAAGAGGAGGTCCTACAAGCTCTGGAGCCCATGAGGTGAGCGAATTCTATGATGCATCAGCTGCAAAATCTGTCATCTTTTTGTTCACCTTTGGTTTCATGTTCTTTTCTCTATCGACTTGCAGAAACAAGTTTGGATCCAGAAATCATCCTCAGGTTCTTAGAGAATCTAACTTAAACCGGTAACCCTGTTCTCTATCAATTCCATTTAGATTCTATAATTCGGTCTTTTTCTGGTTTGTGAAACTAATTCATACTATTTACAGGGTTTTGAATCACAACCCCTTTGACCCAATTTCAGGGTTCTCATCTTCCTCCATGTTGCAATGACTTGCATGCGACACATCTATTTGCCTTGTGTTTGCAATAGTTGTATTCTCTAGAATATGTTCTTGATTACTCCTTTACCTGGTACTATATCTTATTGGACAACTTTCAAGAGCAAGCATTGGAGAGCAATCGGATGGTTGCTTGCCTGCTCTGAATTCAGATGTGGTCTACATTGGGAAAAGAGGTGTGACTGGATCAAGTGTATTGCTGATAATCGGTGTTGCTGGAAGGGGAGACTCTGCCGATGATCTTGTGGGTTTTTCTCTTTGTTTATTGTCTTATTGAATGATGCAGTGCATTGTGTTTTGAAGTTTGCTTGGTCATATCTTTTTTATATACTTTGTTAAAAAAAGGTCGTAGTAGGGAAGAAAAAGGTCGTAGATGTTCGAACTCCGAACTTATTGGATGATGCGGTGCGAAGTGGTCATAAATTCATTTTTTTTATAACACAGGTTGTATGTATTCAATATCCTAGGGCTTTTCTTTTCACAAGAAGTGGTTTAGGTTGGAAATCAAATACTTGGATTTGGATGTTAGTGTCGGATGCAAGCATGTTTAAATTTTAAAATGTTTAATATATTTCAAGGTTTCTTGAAGCATTGTCTTTTTGTACTCGGGTACTGGTACGGGTATGGGTCACATATGATATAGTATACGGACACTTTTAAGGAAAGGACCTTAAAGTGAAGGGTTGTACTGCATGTTGTTTGCCTTACAAGACAATGGCAATAGATCTAGTAATATTTGATATATAGTTTATTCAAAGAAAACATGTTTTATTTGAAAAAAGAGATGAAATTGAAAAAACATGATGCTATAATAATTATCTTTAAATATAAAGAAGATAATTATATTATTATTATTATTTACAAAATTAGATCCGATTTAATTTGAAATTGATTGTTTAAATTAACTTTATAAAATTAAATCGGATTAGAATATCTCGTTTTCGAATAATTTAATCATCCCTATATGCGTTGACCTGTACATATCTTATATGTCTTAAAATTAGCGACTCTTCTTCCACATCATTAATTTTTGGGGTAATTTGTAAAAAATAGTTTAGATCTAACAAAATAATACTTTAAGGACCAATCTAGAAATCAAGGTATAATTTGGGACCAATTTACTTATTAAACATATATGCAATAACTGAGTTGCCGAGTGGAGTCCACCTCTCAAAGCTGTTAGCATCAATTGCTGAAACAGAGCATAGACCAGGAGAACGAAAGAAAAGAAGAAGCCAAACCCCATCTTCTAGACTTCGACAACAAACAAATCTCATCAACTAATTTTACCAGAAAAAGGAAGAAAAAAAATCATATTTTAATCTCAGCAAATGATTAGTTTTGGAAGCAATCCATCACCAGCACCACGAGAAGATGCATGGATTAATTCTTACCAAAAGCTACTTCCTCACTGGCACTGTTTCTCTTTCTCATCAGGTTCAACTCTTTCAATCTTATTTTTCTTAAATTGTTTGTGAAATTTTGGTTGAAGACTTGAAGTTGAGCAATAAAGGAGATTACCCTTTGTTGATTTTCCTTTTAACTGTTCAATTAATGATTTTTGGCCTTAAAAAATTCACGAGAAACTTGTTTGTTTAACTGAAATCTATCTGGGAAAATTCTGGGTGGTGGTTTTTAATTTTATTTTGTATGAGAATTTTGAACTTGGGGTATAAAGGTATTGTTTTGCTAATGTTGAATGGAATTGCATTATGATATTGGGAAAAAGAAACCGGAAAGGTTCTGGGTAGCACTCTGTTACTATACTTTTGTGTGAGAATTACATTATGGTAATTCTTTTTGTGTGTGAAAATTTTGATCAAGTTGAGCAATTAAAGAGATTACCTTTTGTTAATTTTCCTTTTATCTGTTCGATTAACGATTATTGGCCTTAAGAATCCATGGGATACTTGTTTTTTTTTTTACCTTAAATCGAGCTGAGTCTCATTAGTGTTGTAGGTAAGATACTCGTAGGAAAAGTTTTGATCTTTCAGAGAATAGGTTAAGATTATATAAATTTCAAGGATGGAATTCTTCCTGCTTTGTTCCACTTTTCTGTTCTTAGACTTTTATTGACTCTTTTATGAACTATTCTTTGTCAATTGTTTCAGCATTCGAGGCTACCGATATCGATATCTAGAGTTAATCAGTTTGATGCTGCTAGATTGGATGTTGAGATGTCAGCTATGTTGAAAGAACAGCTGGTTAAAGTTTTCTCCTTGATGAAGGTATCTTTTTGTTATCGAATCCGTTCATGATCTATCAAAAATGAAGTTGTGCTATGCGATTGTCTGAGTTTGTTTCTTTGTTTTGTTGGGGTTAGCCAGGAATGTTATTTCAATATGAACCCGAACTCGATGCTTTCCTTGAGTTTCTCATTTGGAGGTTCTCAATTTGGGTAGATAAACCTACTCCAGGAATTGCTCTTATGAATTTGAGGTACCGAGATGGACGTGCCATGCAAATAAGAGGAAAAGGTAAGAAGGTCTGGACTTATCTTTATTATGCTACGATGTTGCTCCGACTCATAATTTTTTTGTGAAAATCTGACACATCACCGAACGTTAATATGGGATCTGACTCTCCAAGAAGGTAAGAACCCTCCAAATACATAAAAAGCCTAGAAAAAATACTAAGCATATCTTGTTAGACTCATACCCGTATCCGACACTCACACCTGAGTCTGAGTAACATGGCATCTTAGTTTGCCAACCAAATCAAGTACTATTTTGTTGCCATTTATAACTAGTTGCGTTGTTAATTATAGTTCTTTATGACTGCAATTTATCAATGTTATTAATCAAAACTATGTCTAGGCCTTTTCAGAACAATCTATTTTTAGTGTATTTTAGATGTAGCGTTTTCCCCTAGTTAACAATTTTCAGGTTTGGACCGTGCTTAGGAGAGTTCATCCTACTATCTGTGTCACCCCTTTCTTCTGTTAACGTTGTCTTTTCTTTGCTCGTCTGTTGCTTTATTCTCGTACAGCCTTAATCAATGGCCTTACTTTGTGCTACTCTTATATTTCTGCAGTAAGAATGGGCTTGGAAGGGCCGGGGCTAACTGTTGCTCAGAAGATGTGGTATTGCATTGCCACAGTTGGTGGTCAGTATATTTGGGCTCGTTTACAGTCATTCTCTGCTTTTTGCCGATGGGGTGATTCTGAGCAGGTGCTGATTCTATGTATCCTTTGTTCCTTTTTTTGTTTTCTTCTTCTTTGTGTATTCCCCTGGGAAGAATTTGGACACCATTTGAAGTTGATTCTGATTTTCCTTCTTCAGAGGCCATTGGCACAGCGAGTTTGGGGTTTAATAACGTATCGAAGGGATTTATAAGGCGGCATCATTTGGCAACCTACTCATATTTCTTTACACAGGAAGGTAGGTTTCAAGTATTGAATAACATGTTTATCTGAGTCTCATTAGTGTTATAGGAAAATATAAACACATACAAAAGGAAAGAAGCACAAATAACAGGCATAGTGATTTAACTTACTATGCTTCATATCAAGTTTTTGTTTATCATCTTTACAGTTTGAAATTGATTGGTTCATCTGGTTTTTGGGTTGATATATATTACTGTACTCTATCAAACATGAATGCTTGGTGATTAAGGAACTTTTAGCTGGTTCGAGAAACCTGTTTTTCTTTGGTCACCTTTAGGCATTCACGTTGGCCCTTTTTCATCTCTTCATCTAATGCAGGTATAGAAACCTCATCGAAAGAGCTTTAAGAGCAAGACTTGTCTATGAAAGCCCTAATATGAACCGAGCGGTTAGGTTTGAGTACATGAATCGCCAGTTGGTGTGGAATGAGTTTTCGGTAATTTTTCCTTTTTAAGCCAACATCTCAATGTTTGGTTCGAAAACATTTACATGTCCTATTACTTTTTGAAATGTACCTTGGTAGTTGTTTGTAGGATAGGCTCCACCAGAATAAAAGACTGTAGCCGAGGTGCATATTGTGCAGAATTTGCGGAAAATCTATTCATCAGCTGTTAAAATTTAGGGTTTGACAATATACTCATTTCTGATTCATGAATACCTAGCCTAGAATGAATAGGAAGGACTGGAAGTTTTTATTGCAAGTAAATGAGAATACGCATTCAATTCAATAAGTCTTTGGAACGAAAGAAATAGGCGAAAGCAGGAAATATTTGGTTTATTTGCCGATCATGTATCCTTTTAACTTTGAAAATCAAGTCAACACTCGATTGTTAACATATTTTGTTTGGGATATGTAGACTAGCAAGCATGTAATTTTCCTCCCGCAGGCTGCAGCCATATATGTAAGATAATAATCAGATGTACTGAAAAAAAAACCTAAGAGAAGGAAAATTGTTTACTATTTTAGTCATTTGAAATTGGTTCTTGATGTAACCGGCAATTTATCTCTTCTGTTTCGACATGGCTCAGCATAATAGTATTGTTAACATGGCACTGACAGTTTTTCCCCAATTTTTGCCTGTGATGAATGTGTTTTCATACGTGCGTTTGCTTTGCTATTACGCAGGAAATGCTGTTGCTTCTTCTCCCTCTTCTTAACTCGTTGACGGTTAAAAGTTTTCTTCAGCCATTCTCGAAGAACAAGTCTTCAGGTTCTGCAGAGGATGACTCTACTTGTCCCATTTGCCGGGCAAGTCCGACACTTCCGTGTCTCGCCCTCCCTTGTCAGCACAGGTAGGTTAAACTCTATCCTATTCTCCCGACACCCCTCTAGTTTTCGTTGTTGAGCTAGTCTTACTCGATGAATGATTAACTCGAAATATGTTAGAACTTGAGCGGACCAAAACAGAAAAAGATTGAAATATATACATTGTCATGGTGTTGGATAATTTCAAGTGTTGTTTGCTTATAACTGATTACAATTTCATATTCACAGGTATTGCTACTACTGCTTACGAACACGATGTGCGGCAGCTCCATCATTCCGGTGCTCCCGATGCAACGAGCCCGTCACAGCAATGCAACGGCATGGCAGCATTGTTGGGCATAAAACTCAGTAACTTAGTTGGATAAGAGCATCGTATACTAAGAAATCAACACGAACTCCCGTTGTAGGATACACTATAGTTTTAGAAAACTAAAATTAATTCTTTTTTTTTATGTATTCATTTTTTATATTTTTGTATATTAAAAGGATCATGATTAAATATTCATGTACGATCGTGTTCGACATAACATACTTATACGATTAAAAACACACTCATTGCAATATAATATGAAATACGACACTTGGATCTGGAATAACGTGTAACTAAAAAAATTAGGTATTTAATTGTACCATTAAAAAAGAAAGATATCTAATTGCAAGAAAAAGAGTACCACAATACACACAAATGTGAAAGATAGGTACCAAAAGTGATATTTACCGTATTATATATTTACACTAAAATCATATATTATATACACTTGCATATGCTTAAAGCAGACAAGGAACCCACCTTCCTTCTAACATTGCACATCTTCCTCTACGTTTACACACAATTCTCCTGAATAACATTATCCTCATTCACACATCAATGGGTCTCTTCGAATTCGAACCATCGTCGGCTCAAAAAGAGTTGTTGGTACCGTCCTACCATGCCCCTTTGCCATCAGAATCGTCTCCCGATCAAAACTATGTCGTTTTCCCCAACTACCACAGTTTGAGGAGAATCCAATGGTGCGATCGACGACGTGTACTGTACGCGGCTGCCTTTGTGTTGTTAGCTGCCTTGGCGTTCATATTCTGGCCATCTGATCCCGAAATTAAGATCGCACGGGTGCACGTAAACCGTATGCAAGTCCATACTAAGCCCATAGTAACATTAGATATATCTTTGGTGTTGACATTGAAAGTGAGGAATTGGGATGTGTATACCATGGACTTCACCACCTTGGATGTTGCGGTAGGGTACAGAGGGAAGACGCTGGGCCACGTGAAGTCGGAGCACGGTCATGTGAGGGCGATGGGGTCGTCGTATGTAGAGGCAGTGCTCGAACTTAACGGGGTCGAGGTGTTTTCCGACGTGGTTTATATGCTTGAAGACTTTGCCAGAGGAACTATCCCCTTCGATACTGTCACGGAATTCGTAGGGCTGCTTGGTTTTTCCTTCTTTAAGTTCCCTTTGAAGGTAAATAAAACATCTCTCTTATCAAATCCCAGGGACTAATTAGACCCTGCAAAATACAATGAGGTTTATTTACTTTTTCTTTTCACAGTAAAATCGTGATTGTTGTGGTAAATAAACAGGCAAAAATATCATGTGAAATTGTGATAAATCGATCAAGTCAGAATATCATTCGCCAAAATTGTTACCCCTCGGGTAAGGCATTTTCATTTTCACGATTCTGTATGTTTAAAATTATTTATATCCGATACGAATCTAAATTGTTAATTTTGTGTGTCTCAGGAATGAACTGAAAGATGAGGAAAGTGCAGTGCAAGCTGAAAGATTCGACCAATGTTGCAGAATTGTAAATACGTATTTTTGATTAATCTGTATAGAATGGATTTTTCATATGATTTTATGAAAATGGTTTAATAGTGAAATAAAATCCCATTTATACCACACGTCACGTACTTTAATCAAAGCAGAAACCCAACTATTATGTTATGATTAACTTTCAATCACAAATGCCGAACTGAATGAATCCCACATCGTTTGGTGAATGAATTGAGGATCGTTACGTTTATTATAAAACAGGAGGGAATAGGAGGACATAAGGCATCTTTGCGCTTGGGGCAATGACGCAGCTCATGAGGTACTAACCGAGGCGCGTCTATTGCTGGTTGAAAACTATTTCCAAACCCCCTCTTAGGCCTGTGTTCTGCCCTGGCCTTCGAGAATTTCTGGAAGGGCTCCCTTTGGGGTAAAGCCCTACAAACTCTAGTTTTTAAGGTTATTTTATTTTAAGTAAACAATGAATTTCAATGGTAGGAGATGGCATTTTCAGTATTGAAGGAAGGTGGTGTAATGATATCATGAGTTTACGATAATGGATGTTAATGATAATGATGAAGATTAGATCTGTAAAAAAACAATGGTATTTTTGTATGTTTCATGTAATTTTAATATAATAAACGATTAATAAAAATATATATATAATAAACAAACAAAATCGAATATTTAATTTTTAAAACGTACAAAATCGAGTAACTAATGAATAATTTTGTTTGTTAAAGAATATAATTTGTTTGTCTATTTATGTTTTAGAATGATAAGAAAATACAAATAAACATAAATTTAATTAATTTAATTTTTTAATTTAGAAAAGGATAGCGAGCTGCTGAGTGAAAAATAAATGTGAACAAAATTTAAACTCAAATGAATATAAAGGAACAAACTTGATTTAACAAATTATCAAGTGTTTATTTGTTTATGTCCAATTATTTAATTAACAAATGAATATAAACGAAATTTTTATCGCACTGAAAGTTAAAATTCGAAAAAAAGGAATGACATGAAATGAGAACAAAGCTCAAAGAAAACTGGTATCACCTAGAACGAGATAGAAATATAATTTTAAGAAATTTTAAAATTGGATAAAAAAAAGTAAAAGATGAGACGACTTCACATCAGCCCGCAAAAAAAAAAGTAATAAAAGATAGAGCAATTAAAAACTTGAATGATCCAATTAACTTTTTTAATATTTAATGATCAAATTACCCTTTAATTATTTGAAACTTAATTAGCATAAATCAAAACTATTTCATTACTCGTTCGTATTTGGAGCACACTCGTTTCCATACGGAAACATATTTGAACAAAAGCCAGTAGGATTGTTTCCGATTTACACAAAAATGTCAGTTGTCGGCATGTCCAAGCCTTCAAAATCTCCAACAAATAGTTAGGAAAGATTGCCTCAAATGTGCAACATCACCTTCATGTTGAATAAGTTACTTTCATCTATACATGAATGAGCAACTTAGCTGCTCGGTTACGCACCCAAAAGCTTCTAATAGTTGGTGCGAAGTTTGCGATTATAGGATTCTTCTCCTTTCTGATACTGCAAGATCATTGATCTAGAAAGTATAATGCAGGGCCAAACTCTTAAACTTTCTCTTCGATCCCTAATCGAGCATCAAGTTGGCGAATGGCGTCCCTAATGTAACTGTTTCGACAAGATAAGTTTAGTTCTTCTGATTGCCAGGCATTTCTTTTGTCTCGAGGTACTGCTCATACAAATAACGATATCTCGTGGGCACGAAATCCATGAATCTGTTACAGATGACAACAGTGTAAGATCTAGCAAAGAGTAACCCGTAAAAGTTACAATCTAACACGGGGGAGGAAATGAACGGATAGGCTAAAGAATAACAGTCGTGTAGGTATGATAAACTAGCAAATTATACTATGCTTTCGAGTATACAATGCCTAACTGACGACGTAATTAATTTTCCGGCTAATGGAAGAACCGTTGTGATAGAAACGTGGAAAGCAAAAGCAAAAGCATCATCAATCCAACCTTCAAATTTAATGCCATTTTAGGGTAGATGCATACCTTTCGAGAAGAGGAAGTCTCTCAGGTCCAGAAAATAATCCCATAATGCGTTGTAAAAGATTACCAATCTTCATCACTTTGGACTTCATTTCCTTCATATAACCCACAAACTGTAAGTATTCTGATGGACTAACTTTCTCTTTCACCTTAAGGCCAGAAAAATTTCCCTAACCCAAATCAGCTACACAACACCATCAAGAAAGTGAAAATCAACTTGTATTGCGAATTTGAAGAGGAAAGCAGCAAAAGAAAAATTAACAGAAATCACTACATGGAAGATAGTTCGACAAATAAACAACGGATGAAAGCATGTCTTTCCAATTTTATTTCTCTAGAGGCTCCAAAGATAGGATTATGAACTCCTAAAGTCATTCCAAAACTTATAAAAGAAAAATTCCAGATGTTTTTAAAGTACACCGGGATTTTCTTTATAGGCTTAGCTGTTTTTGTAACGTTACAGTCCTGAATTTTTCCCATTGGTTTCACGTCAAACCTTCCCATTTCAATAAGTCATTATGTTCTGGAGTTAGCATGTTGGCTTGTGTCGGTCCTAAAAAGGGTCTGGAACTTCTCTTTACATGGTTGATGCATAGAATCTAAGCAAATATGAATACAACTAAATATTTTGACTGTTGACAACATATATAAGAAAATTTGGAAGAAAAAGAAGATACATTTTACCTGAATCAGAAAAGCCGTACCTTTTGATTCCTCAGCACCACGTTGTTCAGCACTTGCGTGAAGATCATTGTTTTTATGCTTGAGAAACTTAGCATCCACACCAGCAGCTCTAGCATCCTTATGTAGTAAATGAACATTACCATTCAAAATATATGTATCACCAGAATAATTGTTGTGTTTCGTTGTACTTACTGTAGGAGGAAGATCTCTTGGCCCTGATCTTTGGGCATACACTGGAACTTTTATCATGCTGCAATTCATCATGCTCTATAAGTAACACCTTGCGTTTCTTCATAGAACATGGAACTAGTTGTTTCTCTTTACTTTGTTGTTTTTCCAATGAAAGATCACCAGTCAAACCAATAATATCATGATTCGGATATTGCATTTTCCCTTTTCCAGTAATTAATAACTTTTTCTCTTTGGTCCTTGGATCACTTGATTGCTTCAACCTTTTCAAATCCATACAAGGAGTGAAACATGAAAGATTGGCAGGAAGAATATCTCTGAGATGGTTTGAGCTGTTGCTGCTTTTTACTAAAAGAGAAGATTGGCAAAAACTTGTTATTAAGATGCAACTCATATGAAGGAAAAAGATGAAACATAAGTTATTCAAAAGAATGAGGTTAGCCATGGAAACAATAGATACCGAAGCAGGGAATTTTCCTGGGTAAGATTTTTCTAGAGGCCGAGCAGCTTTTATATCAGCACTTTTTCCTATACAAAGAAATACAACGTAAGCAAGTAGCGTTTCTCATCTACCATGACAAATAGTTAATTAATGATGGATATACAGAGCATTTTTCATAATTTAGTATTGGAATGTAAAATGACTAGAGAAGTCACCAGATTAAATTAATTGAACTGTTGTGAACCGAACCTATGTTAGGAAAGGCCATTAGTTTTGATTCTTTAATTAAGGCTTAGGTTGCTTTTTTTTTCTTTTCTTTCCTCAGGTCACTTAATTGTGCTTTTGTTTCAATTGATTTATTTCCTCTCTAGAATAGCTTTCCTATTTATGTAATAAGATTGGTCCACATTTAAAGTAACGTATAAAACTATAAAACCTAACTATCAAAACCCCTAAAGAGATGAGTCTCTCAAAAGAAGTCCTACGGTTTGTCTCTTTTCGATGAGCTGAACTATCAATCGGCCCGTGAAGCGATCCTGTTTGCATATTCTAAGATGAATTTATCATTACTTTGTCAGGTCAAAATGTGGGAAAGAAAATTGAGAAGCAAAGGCTAGAGAAAATGGCGTGTTAATATTAAAACATCACATAGAAGAGTGCTACCTGATGAAGATTCCTTAATCCCCTCATCAGGAGCTGATGCTGTAGAACATGGACTTAAATCTGCATGAAAATAGGAAACATAGGTGATTTAATGAAGGCAATGTTGGTTACAGCATGATTGAAAATGCTATCAAAAAACTACAGAATTCATATCTTTATAACTAAAAGAAAGCTTGGCTTAAAAACAGCTCCATTAAAAATTTTGAACATTATAAATATAGAGATATAAATCAAAGAAACGGGACAGCAGTAACATTATTAAAGGACACTTAACCAATGCTTTTGAGGTCTGATAGTTCTCGTTCTGGTTTTGCAGGAACACGGGTTCCTCCATCTTGAAAGAAACGAGTCAGAGTAAAAACAGCATCACCAAATTTGGTGTAACACTGCAAAACGAAGAGGAATAAGCAGAATTCTTCAAATAAAATGTCGTTTCATTTCTAGAAGTATACCTTAATATGAGGTTGTATCCAAGCTGATATTTGAGACTGACGACTTGATTGAGCAAACCTGTAAAGATCTCAGAAGATAAAGTTGAGGAAAGCTGTCGTAATTTAAAAGCAATTAGAAAAGGAGTTTTTGTTTTTCTTAAATTCTATTTCTGATTGCATTTCACTTGTATCCAAACTTTACTTTTGTAATTCTCAGCCTACAAAAGCAGGCTGTTTTTATTTTTTCAACAAGCAATTCGAAGAACTTATGTTCTCTCTTCATTCGAATTCTCACTTTCTTTCTTAGAATATTTACCAAAGTAACCATAAAAGGCAAAATTTATAATAAGTTGACCAAATTAAGAACAAGTTTCAGGGAAATGCACTTTACAATTGAAAATTACTGAAAACCTCAACCATACATTCTACTTGAATGAATTACAACATGTGCAAAATAACAATCAACATTATAAAAACCAGCAAACTAGATAAATTTGGAAATTTTAATATAAATTCTGCAGGTATTAACTTAGAAGTGATATATATACGATATTACAAAAAAAAAAAGAGATAAGATGTGACATAACCTACATTATATATAACTCCGCGAATAGTTCACAATATAAAAATTCATGGGTTTACACAAACACATCACTTGCTAACCTTCATTTTCTCAAGTTAACAGCTTAAATCTTATTTTCCAAACTGTGAATTTTTTCCCCTTCATGCTCGGTCAGGTTCAGGACTGATAATTTAAACTTAGGTAGTACATCCAAGCTTACTACTAAAATGCTAGCTTTACAATAGGAACTTTTAAGTAAAATGTGAAATCAATGTAGAAATAAGCACATGAATAACAGTTTTAATCCCTCACTAGAGGAAAAAGAAAAGCAATACTAGAAAGTAGAAACAACAGTTTTAAGTATAATTGTTCACGTGACAGTTTCAACTTTCAAGTATTTACCATACATGGACCATACTTGGACGAAAGATTACAATAAAGGATAATAGAAAACAAATACCTTTCATCCCTTTCATCACAAAAGATAATCGCTCCATAATCGTGGCGATGACGGATAACTCGTCCGACTGACTGATTTACAGCTCTTGATGCTTGTTGGTTGTACCACTCTTCTCCAGTTAACACCTTAAGCATCTGATGAAATCAGCACAGTAACTTGTTTACTTTAACAACTAAAAACATTTATGTTAAGATTAAAAAACATCTAGCAATATCTGCATCAGTCATCACCTTACTTCATTCCCTGGGTGATTGTGCCTGTAGGTCCAAGTACTCACGTTTCAGACGAACCTGTCATATTATCAGATTTGAAAAGGAACATATACATAAAGCAATGAGAAGGTCATGGTATGTGTTCGTTGATACATGCACTTATCAGATATAAACGCTCATTTGCAATAGCCAAATTAGTTATATGATGGTCATTAACGAGTGAAGAGTGAAAACTGCCAATGAAGAAACTGGTCCGAGTAATAGGCTAAGAATGACCAAACCTTGGGGTCTGTCCTAGTGGCAAATGGCATCCCAGTGATGACCACTGCCCTTCCAGCATGGTCAGCAAAATCTAATCCTTCACTGACCTGAACAAATAGGGGGAAAAAACATAGTAGAGAAAGATAATTAGGAACTATTTAGAACCAAAATAACTTGTTCAAATGAGAAGTGTTTGGGAAGCAAAAACACCAAACAAGACCACACTAATGTAAATTCGCAAGCCATGTTTTTTTTAATAAGAATTTCAGGCCTCATTAAAAAACCCCTTCTTGATTAATGGATCTTTTAGGAAAGCTCCTTAATCAGCGGAAGGAGGAAAAGAGTGCTTTAGGATTTTATTAATCAAGGCAAAGTACATAAAATACAACCAGAAGACAAACTAACAGAACCTTAAAAATTACAGAACATAAAATCAAAACCACCAATATGACCAGACCACCCTTCAACAACAAAACTAGCTCAGCCCCAACAACCTCAATAGGCCACCATAACCCTACTGAAAAACATCTAAAGCAACAAAAATTAATCATCCAATCCCCTGTTTAGCTAGAGTATCAGCCTCACAATTGCAGCTCCTCGGTATGTGTCTAACAATAATCTCCCTCTCCGAGATTAGGGAAACAATTTTCTGAATCATCGAACTAAAAAAAATGAGGAGATGTAGTCGGCAGCAAAATCCAATCCACTACTGATTTACAATCACTCTCTATAATTAACCTTCCCTTCATCGCTTATTATCAAGACATCTGACCTGAGTCATTCCTTTCTTTATGTTATTACTAATAGCAACGTTCATACAGATCTAGAGAAACTAAATCAGATATTATTATAAATAAGATGAAGTTCAGGATCGCAAAGAAAATTACTCCATAGGTTAATCCAAGATTTAGTAACATGTACAAGGTTTAAAACTCATAAATTTTTACCGGGGATTTATAGGTTATTCACTAAAATTTTGCATCTCCTAAATATATAAAAAGAATGATCTATTAAGGAATCCTAAACCAGACAGTGCATTATCCCAAAAAAAATGGAGTGCTAGAAACAAATTATGGAACTTTTATAACACATATTTTCCATCTTGGGGGTAGCATGTATTTTCTGTTTGATAAAAATAAAACACTACCACACATGTATTATGTCAGAGAAGTTTGTAATACTGTATCTCTAAAGCCCTCAAACAACATTCCACAATCACTATGGTTCAAAAGTCCAAAGGAGATCTCTACTCTTTTGCCACCATACAACAGGTTACATGTATTTCTGGCACAGTGCAAAAACAAAGTTTTGTTTTAAGTTTGGATGAAAGTAACATACCTTGCCACGGCAAACAGCAAAAAATACTTCACCTGAAGTAAAGGTGTCCTTTAGTTTAGTCATGTAGTCCTGCCAAAGAAAAGAAACTATTTATCTGTGCTACAAAGTCTTTGGTTACCACAGAATACAATAAAAGAGAAATTAAAGTTTTCATGTATCTACTACCTCAACTGCCAGAGGAAAAAGGGATGATTGTCTGGGTTCAATAATGGGTTTCTTAAATTTGCATGTTCTTTCCCATATTGTAGTTGAATTTGTGTTACCCTGCAAGGAGAAAGAACATAATGTTTATGAAGCTAAAATTAATGGAGTCACTACCCCTTCTCCATTAATCTTGTTCCAAGATCTTACCATGTTCTTCCAACAGCTAATGCACTGGTCCAAAAGGTAGTAAGATGGGAAGGATACAAGCAGTCCATCAGGTACAATTCGAGCAAAATTGACTGGGAAAAAAAGAACTGTTACTATGACATTATGGCTACTGAGGCAAATATGGAAACCTTTATGCTGTCAATTATCATCATAAAGTAATGGCATAGGCCAGGCATCCCTGCACAATTTTAGCACAATGCCTCAAGCCCATGATGATTTGCTTAAGGGCTTCTTTCTTTCAAAGTTATTGTTTCTATGAATAAGCTTAGAAATCCCTCTTAGATCAGAGCATTAACAGTTGGCATTGCCTCATGTAAACAATGTGCTCTTTCTTTTACAAAATATGAATCTTGTGAACATATATACTCAGCCCACCAGGGTAGAGTCATAGCACATTTTTATCTGTAGTCAAATGGTCTCCCACTGAAAGTTGCTATGGACCTATTGGCTATTCTCATAGCTTATTTTATTCAAATAACATGACTTGCTCACATTTGTTATTCAAAACAATTCCACTTCCAATGAATTCTCTAGTGCAATAACATGATGAAGTAGAGAAGAGAATCAACGGCCTTTCTACCATCAATAAGTGATTATATTTCTTATTGGATTGAAAAGCTGAGAAGAGAATCTAGAGATCATTAGACTAACACTATGTGTTCTACCATTGGCACACCAGACTATTGCCAATGAAAAGGTTCACATACCAATGGCATTCTCGAGTTCTTGTTTGTATTCTGGAGAATCACGATTCCGGAAAGATGAATTGAAGGGACGACCTGAAGTACCAATTGAGACAACTCCAGCCCATATATGATTTGAGGATATTACATGAGGATTTTCCAGCTGAACAGGAAAATCTTTGCATGCAACAGAAGGTTTCTCTTTAGTAACTAATATTCAAGAAAACCAAAGTATAATATATGTAGAAAGAATGAATTTGGGCAGCTTACAATTTCAATTCTTGTGCAAATGAATCCAAGGGGGATAATGTACCCGATGTCACTATAATAGATCCAACACCCATTTCAGTGAATGTTTGCATGGCAATGCCTGGATTGAAGCACCACCAGCCGAGTGTCCTGGATAACTTACCTGCCAAAATTCAAAAAGATGAAAATATAATTCACTTTTACAACAAAGCATATCGAAAGAACACAGCAAAATGATGGTTACCAGTACCAGAACCTTACAGCTTCTTAATCTGTTATTAGTGACTGATGAAGCTAAATGAAGAGCATAAATTATTTTCAAAAAGTAGAATAAATTCAGAGGAGAAAAAGATAGACCTAAAACTTTATCACCAAGAAAGCATGTGCACCTTGGAATAGACAAAAATATTGCCATATTTTTCTGCCATTTTGGTATAAAGGAGGCTAGAAGATAGAATATCCGCATCTTGTAACTAAATGCTTTCACTATTCTACATGAGCATAACAAGCAAGATTTGGTTTTGAACAAGATACAGGAAATACTAACAACCTTGTTACTTTAAAAACATGACTACCACAATACTGGTAACTCCGACAACCTCCAACTAACTTTACATGAATACACCAAGAAAAACTAGTTCCTTTTCAATACTTCTCATTGTTCATTTTTTGCTGAATCCTTACTGCGCCCCAGACTCCTAGCCAATGCTTCATTTAAAATAGGGAAAAGAAAAAGGAAAGAATAACTTATGAATCTTCTTCGTGAACCATGAGATTCCTAGAAAAGGTGGTGTTCATATGCCCATTTTCAATATTAGATCTGACAACCAGAAGAATTATAATGATCACTTAACAGTTTAAACCTGATTTAAATAAGTAACTTGAATCAAGCAAGGCAAATACGCATGAAGAAATTAAAGAACAAATAACAAATTCTAACAACTTGGTCTCTGAGTTACCTTTGAAGATATCTGAAGCATTCACCTCAGCCTCTTGAACATGAACCTGAAATAACATATGAAAGTTAAAACATGAGATGCCTAGCTTAGGGAAGAATAGTACGGAAATATTTCCCTCTGTTAAAAAGGTAATGATAACGACATCCTCAAAGCTCTGAGTTCCCAGCTTACACGATAACTACCAGCATGACTGTTGCCCTTGTCTCTGAATATACTTTTAAGAATGTAGCCAATGCTTTCCAGCCCACTTCCACTTCCCTTAGCATCATGCTTTTTATCTTCCTTAAGCAGCAGAGTAGCATCCTCAATAATATCAATAAGCGTAGAAGCAGTTTCATGCGTGATATTGAGATCAGCAAGTAGTTCATAAATGTAGGGCCCAGGCTTAGTAAATCCAAGTTCCTTGGATTCGATGGGAATTTCAGCAATTCACTTCTGAAGTTTCAAAAGAAGAGCTGAAAATATGCAGAGTATGTCTCTAAATAAATATATTGGTAAGGATGTGATACACACACATATAGAGAGAGATGCATACACACACATGAATACATATATATACAACAGAATTACAAACAAAATAAGTTGAAGCTGCCAGCAAAGTGACTGAAAGGTTTTCTAGAAGTGCAATATCCTCAACTAAAAGGACCAAAGCTAATTTATCGCAGAACAAATACAAACTCATAAGAACAAGTGTTTTGAACATGGTCTAATCACCTTACTTCTAATTAGACCACCAGCAGTAGGAATAAAAACAGAACATAATGCAAATTAAAAGCAACACCTACAGCCATATAAACTAAAACAAAACCACAATTGAAGAGACAAGATCTAATGAGACTCGTCTTCTTCAGGAGCCCAAGAGTTTGGTTTGAATGAAGGCTCTATCTCATCCACCATGACCTTGAAGAAGTTGTCACCAACCTTCAATTCCACCATCGCATCAATTCTCGCATCAGCCTTTGTGAGGACTTGAATTTTTGTCCGATCAAAGGATGATGGAGAATGACAACTTTCGTCGATAGCTAGTAATAAACCCCACTTATCAGCAATGTTCTTGAAAATATTCCAATTTCATGCGTGAAAAGGAACACCCTCGCAAACTAACCATACTCGACGACACTCCATTACCAAACTCTCTGACCAAGCTTCGACTATGGAGAACTACTCTACGAGAATCTTTGATTTATCGTTCTTCACACTTCTCAATGAAGCATTGTCTTCGAAAATCATTAAAATCGCATTACCAACAGCTCTCATTAAGGTGAAGCCAGTGAGGCCCTTCGCTTGCATTTGTCTAGCGAGATGACCAATTTTGACAAAGTCCTTGCACCACCGCACTAGACAATTGCTCAACACCTGAAGTTTTTCTTCATCTATAACACCTTCAACTTTATAATGATTCTTCTCCGAATCATCTTCCATCCCGGACTTGCGAAGAACACCTATCGTGGACTTTCTCCAATAGGAATGTCGAGGTTTGAATTTAGCGAAAGAAACACCAATTTTACTGCCGTCGATACCAGAGCCATTCATTTTTGAGATCGCTCTCCTTGCTTCTTCGATAGATGCGAAGCGAATAAAACCAAAGCGAACTCCTTTTGAATTCCTTTTATTTGGAATAAAAGCATCAAGTACCCGACCATGAGAGCAAAATAGAGATCCAAACCTCTCCCAATGAATCTTCTCTGGTAAATTTTCAACAAATAACGTGAAACATCCAAACTTGTCAACTCTGCCCCTTTGTGATTGACTCCCTGGATCCCTCGTGTACACCATTTACTGCAGATTTTTCATCGCAACACACCTCTTTAACTGGCACATGAATACTAGGAGATGTTACAGAAGCTGGAATTGGCAATGGCAGTACTGGAGGAACAGGAAAACCTTTGTACTTGTCAAAATCAGAATCTGTAACTACTCCTCTTTTAACAACAAGATTCTTCCTTGCCATCTCGATGTGCAAAAGGGACTTCAACTTAGCATCAAAAACCATTTTCTGAAGGGCATCCTTGGCAACAACTGCAAATTTAACAGTTGAGAAGAGAGCGAAACCCTTGGGCTTATTTCCCTTGAAGCTCAAGTGTGAATCTTCAAAACCTGGAAGCCATCTCAGAAAATTCTGCAACTCTCTCTCTTTGACATCTTCAGGCAGACCCATAATGAATACAGTACGAACCTCATCATGATGAGAAGGGTGAGATGGCAGAGAATGCGAGGCTGCAGAGTGTGGAGGAACTTGGACCGGAGGTCTCAGATTGAGAGAAGGTAGGATTCCAGCACTCGGCATGATGAATGACTGTTGAAATAAAACACCCAGAGACTTGACAAACTGTCCTGGATTTTGAATGCAAATTTGAACGAAAAAACCAGAGAAGTAAAATGCTAGGTAAGATATGCCTCCGAACGTGAAAACCCAGAGCCAACAACGGCGATCTGGAAAAATAAGTTTTTCTCAGGAAGATTTCCGTTGACCAGCAGTGGGTATTCACAGTAGAGTACTTGGGTTTTTATCATGAGCTTCCGGCGAGCACAGTGGAACGGTTGAAACGAAACTCGGAAGACTGCTGGTGGAAAAGAACGGCGGAGAAAGGCAAGAAGATTTGCTCCGATTGAAGAGGAATCTAACAAAAAGAACCAGGAATAAGGAAACGCTGTGGGTAGACGAAGATCCTTGAGAAAAACGGCGTCAAAAGGAGGTCGGAGTGCGGTGGTGGACGGTGGTCGGAGGACGGCGGACGACAAGCGACAGAAGGTGGAAGGCTAACGATGGATGACGGTAGTGAGGGCTGTATAAACGACACCCATATTTTCTCTCTCCCTTGGAAATTTGAAATTTGAAAACGACTGGGTTAGAGAGAAACACATGCCGTCAAAAGCCCAAAAGACAAGTCAAAAGATGCTGCATCAGCACAGATGCTCTCCTGCATTGTATTCCCATAAAATCAGTAGCTAAGCTCAATCTAACAGAAGGCAGAAAGTCAACCATTGGATCAGTTGGCCTATGTCATTCATAGAATGACTATATTCCAACGGTGAAGAGACCAAAGAATACCAATTAACAGCAGCAAATAATGTTCTATCTAAAATTTACACAGAAGTTCCAGTTACAAATTTCAATTTTCCCCTTACAAGGTTGTGAGCTTCATCAAAAATCAGTATGCTGTTGTGCCACACAAGACTAAGAGATTTTCTATAATCACGATCTATAAGATAGTTGTAAGGTGCAAATAAAATATCAACATCCCTGAGGAGTTCTTGTGATACATAATAAGGGCACCTACAAGAAAAAAAATATTGTATAAATTAGCAAGAAAACATGATCAGGAATATTAAAGTTAGTAGCGGGGGCTCTAGTAGGAGACATGCCTTTTAAAAAAATAAGTAAAAAAGCCACCACCGCCACCATATAAAGTATGGAAAGGGAATATTACTGCAGAAACCTATGGCCTATATTTTCTTCCAATATTCACCAAATCCTCTATGTCAATAGGTTCATCTCCAATATGAGGGTTGTTCTTCATATAATCTACAGTAAACAACCAACATTAGTGAACAGCAGATGCACCCCAACCATTTCAAAATAGAACTTTCAAAAAATAAATTAGAGAGATGGTTGGTCAATTCACTGTAAATAAGTGAATAGTATAGTCCAGAAGAGAATAGAACAGAACTCAACTCCTCACTGCTGGTCATATAAGGCTAGTATCACCATCATCAAGTAACACTTCAAAGAAGGAAATCAAGCAAACTGTTTCTGCATTACCATGATGAATATTGACAGGCATGTCTTACTTTCTTCTTGTGGATTGGATAACAAACCAATGTGATAAAAAACTTTAATAGTAATTCCTAATAATCATCACACAATCTAAAGCCAGGATCAAAGTTTACCTCGTCCCCTTCTACAGTCAGTTTATATAAGATAAAAGTTTACATCATTTCAGAGTTAGAAGTTTAAATTAAATGAACTGTTGAATAAATGATGTATTCAAGGCATTGACAGTGCATGCCAAATGACATCAATGCAGAAAAGTGTACAAGTACCAGCAACACGTGGAAAATGAGTGCAACGGCGCTTCCGGTCCTTTCTGCAAAGGGAACGGCAGGCATTTGTCTGAGCTTTTCCTCTAAGTAAACTTACTTCTTCATGTACACACAACTGCTCCCGAGATCCCAAAACTACCATCTTGGGCCTGTATATCCTCCAACATTCAGAAAGTCAAAACCCAAAGCGAAAATATTGAGCTTCTGAAAGTATCAACAAGATAAATGTGCACTGCTACCCTGAAGGTGCTTAAGAACATATTGTAACAACAATGATTAACATAAGAGAAGTTCCCTTACATGTGATATATGACAATAAAAGGTTGGAAATCTGCAGTATCTTCACCTTCCTCTTTCCTTTGATAAAAGGCAAACAAATTTAACACCATATCCAAAGAAACGGAAATTCATGTGTTGTTATACCCTCATTTTTCTTTTTCTTTTTAAAGACTCTAGACATGCAATATTTTGTATAAATACTGATCAGAAATTCAAATCAACCATATAGGCAAGGAGTAAAATGCATATAAATCAAAGAATAATTCAAGTTGAACCCTATTGTGAAAAGGTTTCGAAGAATACAGAAGTTCTTTTATACTTCAATCCAAGAGCAACTGAATTGAGATTGCAAATTGATCAAACAGTTCAAAGCAGATAGAGCTTGATTTAATAATCAAACCAAGCTCAAGCTGCAACTGGAAAGTCATTTGTCAAACAAGCCATGCATCAGGAAAATTATTGCCAACTTGATCGAGCAATTTAGTATATGGCTTAATAAAGTTCATAAAACCAAGAGATTCCAGATCTTATCTTATCAAAACAGATATAAGAAAACAACTCTACCCACAAATATTATTTAGAAAAAAGAGCAAAAGTAGTTATCGACTCAAAATAATCTCCTCTGCTCTGGCTTGAAGAATAAGACAAAATAGGCATATTTAATAAGCCAGCCAACATATGTTGGTCTACCGCCAAATATGAGTAATGGCAAGACTGAGCAAGATTAGCTTAGGTGCAGATGTCAGACATAAGCATGAGCCAACAGATGCACTTTTAGTTTTTCCTTAAATTTGGAAGGGCCAGAACCTAATACTCATGCTAACTTTGATGTATCAGATATGAAACCAACTCCAACATTAGTAATGAAAAAGACATTAGCATATTAATAATCTCCACTACAGCAATAATAAGCTAGTAGTGAAGAAACCTAAATAACGTGTCATGAAAAATCAACTATGACCTGTAGTTGCTTCTTCTCAACTCTTGAACAACTTGACGAAGTTGGCTGTGAGTTCGCGAGGTATAAACAATGGCCGGAAGGTTACTGGCACATTGTGAGGATCCTATTCCAGTTGAAAAACCACCCAAACTTTTCCTCCAGGCCAATGTGGCACATAGGAGACATAGTGTTTTCCCAGTTCCAGTAGGACTCTCCAAAAGTACATTACACCTCTGTGACATAAAACAACAAATAGAATATAGCCCTTGAATTAACAAAATCCATACTATCCACCCCTTTGTATTTTGAAAATTTTAACTCAGAACAATAACTTGAAACAACCTAACATCAATATCCTACTCAACTATACCAAAATATAAGCAGCAATTACCTTATGCCCTTCAGTTGAATAACCATGTTTTAAAAAAGAATCAAAATTTTCTTATATTTCAGCACATATCTTCAAAAAACATTAATTTCAATAAACTAAAACAACGGCTTTTATACATTTTCTTTAAAAGAAAGTGTTGAAGAAAAATCAGACAAGTGATCACTGTCCCTTAAATTCAACTCCACTACTGAGACTGAGAGTAACAAATAAAATTCCTTGACACTAAACAGAAAAAGGAAATACAAAATATAAGTGAAATATACCCTCTGGAGAGCTTCAATAACTTTCTCCATGTAAACAAGTTGGCAATCGTACGCCTCGAACGGAAAATCAACATCGATTCCCCGTAACTTGTAAGTAGGCATTTTCCCTTTCTTTTCCTGTTTGGATTACGAGAAAGTTGATGAAAGAAAATGATCGGGTTTACCTTCGTTATCTAGTTTGAATAGACTCGCAGAAACTTTATATAGAAACCCTAGCTGGCGAACGAACGTTAGATTTCCCCGCCATTACGCTTTCGATTAGTACAGGACTACAGGGTTTATTTCCAAAGAGGCTGTCGTTTAATAGGCAATTACAGCAAAAAATAGGTCAAATTCTCTAGCAGCTCCCCAAACTAAGTATTTTTTATGAATTAGACCCCTTTATTATAATTTAGTCATTTCAACTTTACTCATTAATTATACTAAATAATTTAAAAATAACGAAGTCAACCATTATTAAAAGTGGAAATACCTAATTAATTTTTTTAAAGAAAAAGACCTCATTAAAAATCTCCTTCATATCTAAAAAACAAAGTGTAAAGGTACATATCGGATATTGAAAAAAGGAAAAGGGTGCCAAACTATATTAATAATAAAGGTCAGATACATAATAAACTGTTTCAAGATAACAACCATATGAACCATCTATCAAATTCACACAAGGAAAAACAAAAAGCACTCAGCAACAAGCCAGGAGCGACGCCACCAGCTCTCGTGAAAAGATCCACAAAACAAACCAGACCTCCTTCCTAGAACCGCTCAACGAGGACCATATTCAATCTTATATGCGGACAAAGTCCTTTACTGATACCCTCTTTAGCCAAATGGTCAGCATTAACATGTTGTACTCGATAAATATGTCGGATCACCCAACGATCTTTATCGAATCGCTCAACCAAACTGTTCACCAAAGAAGAGAACAAAGGAGCCGAACACCACGCCACAGCCACCTGACAGTCACATTCGATAATCAGACTGTAGGAAGGATGCCAATCAGACGATAAGAAAAAATCAATAGCCCAATGTATCGGCATAGTTCAGCCAACAAAGTCGACCCTGAACCAGCAGGATTCGAGAATTCCATTAGGAGTTTGACACTGTCGTTCCTAAGTAATCCGCCAATGCCACACAAACCATTGTCTCCTGAGCAAGCCCCATCAACATTGAAAGATAAGAATCCGGGCAGTGGCGGCTTCCAAGGAATCACCAAACAACCCACTTTAGATTTGGCAAATCCGGAACCTGCACTCGAAGGATCAGCAACCAGATTATCCAAAGAAACAAAACTATCAGGGAACTAACTGGTCAACATCCAGAATTTTATTGTTGAAAACGATCTCATTTCTCATCAACCATATTGACCAGATGGTAGCAAATGGTAAAAGTTTCCAAATTGGATCAGCCCTCGCAATACTAGGGGTAGCCTGCCAAGGAATTAGGAAAGCTAAAGGATTTTGTGGAATAACCAATGACATTCCCCACAATGCAGCCAGCCTTGTCCAAATGTGTCGAGCGAAAACACACGAGAAGAAGAGGTGATCAACTGATTCCGGAAACTGATTACATAGAGAACACCTAATATTGTTATTCATAGGGACGCCACGCTTACTTAACTCCACTTTCACCGAGATGCGACCATGTAAAACTAGCCAAACAAAAGCTTCGACTTTTGGAGGGGCTAACCCAATCTAACCTATATCAATTATTAAAGTATAATGCTAAAATGAGACCCCAATATTTATTGAAACGATCATTTTGACTCCTATTCTTTTTTTTTTTTGAGCTTTTTGACACCAATATTTGATTTTAGGAGAAAAAATGTCTCCGACATTTGATCAAACAGTCACTTTGACACTTATTATTTTTTATTGGAGCATTTAGCCCTGAACGTTTCATTTTAGGATAAAAACACTCTTATTTTGGAATGTTAACCATTTGTTAACTAGTGATTTTTTATCAATAGAGAGTCTTTTTACCCTAAAATGCTAAAAAAAAGGAATAAGGACCAAAGTGATTATTTAATCAAACGTTAGGTGTATTTTTTTTTATATTATGTCAGTTATTAAACCATTAACCTACAATTAACACCATAAGCAAACAAATACAAAGTTATAGAGAAAAAAATTAAAGGAACGAAAAAGATGAATCTTATTCAGTTAAAGTACCAAGTCTCTTCAGTAATTTTATCCAAAAGTTAATTAAAAACCCAAAATATAATCTCCAAGCAATCACTTTTAAAAACAAAGAAAATAGTAAGTCTTGGTTATACTAAATGAGTCATCTTTCTCATCCCACTTAACATAATGGAAACTATGCTATTTACGTGTTTTACAAGGCTTTTCAAGGTTGTACAATTCCCACCATTCTGTGTTTGACTCGATCTGAAGAGATTAAATAATTCAAATAGTTAAATAGTTACACAAATCATCACTCAATTTTTGTCTCACTTTGATTTTTGTCTTAATTTTTTAGACTGACCACCACGCCGACTGCCGTTGCTGGCCACCGTTCATCTATATATATAACCGTATATCCTTCAACATTCAAAAAGTCAAAACCCAAAGCGAAAATATTGAGCTTATGAAAGTATCAACAAGATATATGACAATAAAAGGTTGGAAATCTGCAGTATCTTCACCTTTCTCTTTTTTGTGATAAAAGGCAAAAAAAAAATCTATTTAAAGACTTTAGACATGAAATATTTTGTATAAATACTGACCAGAAATTGAAAACAACCAGCTAGGCAAGGAGTAAAATGCAGATAAATCCAAGAATAATTCAAATTGAAGTCTAGAGTGAAAAGGTTTCCAAGAAATACAGCAATTCTTTGATACTTCAATCCAAGAGCAACTGAATTAAGACTGCAAATTGATCAAACAATCCAAAACAGATAGAGCTTGATTTAATAGTCAAACCAAGCTCAAGCTGCAACTGCAACTGAGAGTAAAAATAGCTTACTTCTTGAACTCCTCCATTTCCATTACCAATGGACAACATGGGGTTGAAGAAGATTTTTAAAGTTTGGATCATCCCACTGCAACGATTCCCACCATTCTGTGCTTGACTCGGTCCGAAGAGGAGGAGGAGGAGCATATGCATATGGCTGCCCATTGCCAATAAGGGGAACAAATGGAGAAATTCTCTTCAGATTAAAGCAGTTATCAACATAGAATAGCTGGAGAGAATCACAAACCATTACTCCATTTTTACTGCAGATGCTCTCTAATGCTGGTAATCGGTATAGTCTCGACCCTCTCAATTTGGGAAGATTGAATTTGATTAGTGCGTCACTTCCTTTTTCTTCTTCTTCTGATGTTGGAGCTTCCAGTATTTCTATTACTTGATCACATTTCTTCACCTCGATTTCTTCCAGGTTTTGGATGTTGGGAAGCAGCCAATGAGGAAGCAATGTCATCATACTCGAGCACTTATTTATATGAATAACTTTAAGAAGCGAAAAAAGTGGCAGACGGAGCCAATTTTGATGATCCAAATCTTTCAACTTTGATAACTTCTCTCAACATTGACAGTCTACAGAGATGCAATTTTTCAAGGCTTTGAAATGGATGCGTCGAAGAAGACGACACAGAGAAGGAAACAATATGCTCTAACTCTACGCAATCCATAATTCTACGAACCCTCAAGTCAATCGCATGTTCTAAAGAAAGAAAATCATCGTTTATGCTTCTCAAATGGTGGCACTCTGAAATCTCCAGGTCTAGAACATCAAATGGGAGCATAATTGACTCACATTCACAAAATTCATTTCCACTGATTACTGCACTTTTATCTTTTTCAATAAATTCTTGCCAAAAAAATGAGCCCACCTGCAGTACTCACCTGGTGAGATTTTTGTTGGACTGCTGCATGGAGGAGACGAACTTATTAAATTCATCCATGTCTTCAAAACGTCCTTCAAAGCATTCCAATGTCTCCAGTGGCACTATCTCCTCTGCCTTTAGCTTGTTTTTATATTCCACAAATCAACCCTTAAGTGCCGAAGGTGAGAGAATTTTTGTAATAGTCCTGTGGGCATATCTCTTAAAGTGCGCACACAAAGATCAAGATATTTTAGTTCTAACAACATATCCATGCCTTGAGGAACTTTCTCAATTTTGGTCCCTTTAAGATCTAACTTCTTTGGTACACTTTATTAGTTTTAATATATGGTCGACTCTGCCACCTAAATAATATATGGTCGGCTTTGCCTCTTAAATGATATATAGTCAGTCCGTCAGGTTAAACAATGTCGGTGAGTTTGGATAAAAGTACAGATGAAAATCTTTTAAGGTGGTCTCCTCAAGGTTAAGATACTTTAGATCTATTTTAGACTGAAAATCAATATCAAAACACTATATATATATATATATATCAACATATTCAGGTCTTCAGGGACTGCCTCAAATATGGTCCAATTAAGATTCAACTTCTTCAATATTTGAAGATTCAAAAGACAATGTCTAATATTGATGTATAATACAATTGATTAATTAAATGATTTATTTGTAACTTTTAAAATTGAATGATTTAACTATATATTAATAATTGTATGACTTAAGATATAATTTACCCAAAGTATGAGTGTTAGAAGTCATGACAAATATTATTTGGGGAAAAACTCAAATTTAATCCAAAGAATTTCAGACTAAAGTCGGATACTATCTGTTAAATAGAAATTTTCTTATTTATTCACAACAAGCAAATTTTATAGACGAAATGTCAGAACAAAAGACCTCAAAGAAAAATAATATTTTCTTTAACTACTAAGATTATTTAATGGGTTCATAAATCACTATTTATAATTTATGTAAATCATATTTATGAATAATGACGAACGGTAACTAAATTTGTATTGGTGAAAGAAATAATGGATTGCAATTTGATTACCTTAAAACCAACAAATGAAACCTATAAAATAGCCCAACCCATAATTTTCTAACCCCACCGCACTTGGCCCTTTTCAAGTGAGAACCGACGACTGAAGCCGCTGTTCCTCTCCGTTTCTCTCCAGCTTCTTCTCTGTTCCGTTTCTTCGAGGTCTCTTTCCAAAACCCAAGCTATAAAATATAACAAATTCTAATAATTTCTGGGTCTTTCTCTTTTCTTTTTTTATATTTTCCCCCAAAGCCATAATCCATGTTAGCTTGATTAAAAGAAAATATTGATTCGGCATTACCTGTTGTTAGTTTGTGGAAATTGAGGTTATGGTTTTTATTTCTGCTCCTTATTGTACTCAATAAAGTTAAAAGT